GAGGGGGGGGGGGGGGGGTAGAAGCCAATTGCATCACAGCATTGTGACCAACTTCCCCAGTTCACCAAGCCAGCGAGGAGAGTAGACTGTCTCCTGCAACAGCCACCCTGTGTCTGCTGCTGTGTGAGCTTGGGCAAGTTCCTTAACCCCTCTGGTCCTGAGGCCCCTCCAGCTCTGTGCTTTTCCGACAACTAGAGACGAGCTTTCCAGCTCTTAAGCACACAGGCCCACGGCACCTGCCAGTGTCCCACAGCTTCTCCCCTCCCCACCCCACCCAGGCCCCCTTCTCCAGAGACACCTCCAACCGTGTGACTGTACAGTCCCCGACAGGACAACCACTTCTCAACAGCTCACACCCTGGTCACTTCTCGTGTTGCTTGTATTTAACTTTTCCCTTTGATTGACGGTCCCTGAGAAACGACTCGCTCCTTGCAGGCAGGGTGTGCACTGGGCCGATGGGTGCACTGATCACAGGTCTGTTACACAACCCAACACCGGCCTCAGGCGAGGAAGCTTCAGAGGACTGCAGTACCTTGGGACTGGCAGATCAGGGGCCCCAGGACCTAGAGGGACCTCCAGCCCCAGTTCTTGCCCACGAGCCTCCCTGCCCCAGCACCACAGAACTGCTGTTCTGGACACCGTGGGTCGGGGGGGCAAGCGAAGGCCCCTTTGAGAGGAGATGGGGCAGGGTGCCCCAGGTTAGCCGTGTCAGATGCAGGGGAGGGTCGGCCTTAGCAGCTACAGCCCTGACCAGCAGTTCTCCCGTCATAGCCAAGGCGTTTGGTTTATTTCTGCACAGCATGAGCCACCCGGGGAAAGGCTGGTTAAAGGGCCAGGCAGACCCTTCTCCATGTGTCCTCACAGGGTGAGGGCGCCACGGACCCGACACAGAGGAACCACTTGCAGATCCTCTGAAAAGGCAGCCATGGGCAAGGACACCAAGTGTCAAAAAGCCAAAAATGCACTCCCAGCACCACAACTGATCTCGGGGGAGCGATGTTTTACAGTCCCTGGGGCAGGGGCTGGGGCAGTCCCCGCTCCCAGCAGGGTAATAGGTAAGGGGGGGGGGGGGCTTCAAGTCTCTCAGGGAAGGGATGTCCCCTGCGTGGAGAGCAGGAGTCCCGACGGCCTGGGGGCCGGAGGGGAAAAGAAAGCAAAGCCAGGCCCGACCACTCCTGTTCCCTGCGCTTCTGTATGTTCACATGCTGAGATGAGAAGCAAATTCCTGGCATTTTCTGGTCAAAGTCTGTCTGTCCTCGGTGCTCAGGGTCTGTCCTTTTTTCCATAAACAGGAAAGAGAGAGCGTACCCCCCTGGGCAGAGCCCGGCCAGGGTGGATTTATCGCCTTCCTGTCCCTGTGGCGCTGGGGCGTTTGGATGGGGGGCTGCCAGCGCAACAGCAAGAGGGGGCTCCCCAACAGCAAGAGGGGGTTCCCGGGGAACAGACAGCCCAGCCCCCAGCCCCTCCGGGCCCTCCCTGCCCGGGGCTCCCGGGGCCCAGGCGGCCA